GGGGGGGGGTCACTTATCTCTTGAGGGAGGTGGGGAGCCCTCTCTTCTGTCACTATCTGGGGGGTGATGTGGGGGCTCTGGTCGGGTCGGTGAGTGCTGGACATCTGAAGGTTTCACAATCGTTCTAGTCAAACCTCACGCCCTATCTTATCAAGACGCCTATTATTAGTTGGTCGTGACCTCCTCCCAGCCCTATGGTTATGTATGTGTGTGTGTTCGGTATTGTAGGTATGTGCCCGTAGGCCGTGTATGTTTTCGTAAGTGTGTGGACACGTAGCAGACGCTGCTCCCCACCATGGAGCATCTGCTGAGTGAATACCAGTGAGAGGTGCTCCTACCACCTCTACCAGTGCCTGTGTGAGCCATGTGTGGGCAGTATATATAGGCCCCTAGAGGTACCTTGCCTCGACGCAGCGGAGGGGCGACCCTATGCGCCCTTTTTTTTCTTTTTTTTCTTTTTTTTAACTCCCTTCAGATTACTAGGGGTGCTGATATGAGCAGACACAGCTAGTATCGTAGGGGAAGGCTCCATCTATTAGTGGGGTCCAGTGTCCCATGTACAATGCACACCCTTAATCTGTTGCCAACGAATAGACAGCCCTCCTCCAGACCCCAGTCATCAGCTGGGGCTCCTCCCCCCCCAAAGGCCCCCATCCCTACTTGTTCTATCCTCAGTTGTAGACCGTCTCCCACCCATCAGCAGATTCCGGTCATTGGCTAGATACTTCCTGTAGGGATCGGAAAGGACAGACTACAGACTAAGTAGGTGGTGGGCCATCATCCGTCCTTCCACTAGCCCCCAGCCTTGTCCCTCTGATGTGCCTATCGTGGTTGTACCTGTAGTCAGTATCTGGGGGAGTGTCTCTCATGTGTCTGTGTGTGTAATATGTGGTAGAGACAAGCCTATCTGGACAAGACCCCCCAAACGTCCGGAACCGGACTCGAACCTGTGACCTCCAGTATGAGACTGGTGGGTTCTACCACATGCACTACAGTAGGAAGTGGATATGGTGTGTGAAATATATAGGCTGGGGGAGATCATCAGAGCAACCAAAGCCAACAACAGCAAGCAACCAACGTGAAGTCCAGACCAGCATACAACACCCATGGACTAACCCCCTGGGTGGTGCGCAGGCAGTGTCCGTAATAGTACCATGCGTCAGCCCAGGGGGTGTGTCTAGCCGTGCGTCATTCTAACGCCCTGCCGGTGTCCATGCACAAGGCTGTGGAGTTTTGAACCCGCAACATTGAACCACAATCCACATTTCCAACCGGTGCTCTAACCACTGAGCTGAAGTTGTGCCTGACACTGCCCGTATAGTACGGCGTATACACGCCACGATTTTAGGAAACGTATGGGCCCGTACAGGTCCTGGAGTTGTTTTCGGACTTCTTGTGTAAAAACCAAGCACTTGAAACCGGTTGGATGCCCTTGCGGTAGTGCTTGGTTGAAGTCCGGTCGGTGCTGTGAGTTGTCCCTCACGTGCATTCGGGCCGACTAGAGTGTGGGCGGGTACACCGGGTCACAGTTGATCCTTTTTTTTTTTTTTTTTGCAAGGCCTCTATCCCAGTGGTGCTAGGAGAACGACCGGAATTGAGGCTTTGCCTGGTGGGCCTCTCCATCTATTGGTGGGGAGCATCACCTGCTGGAAACCGGGGCAGCGTCCCTTGAATACATCGATTCTTGTATGATATCATTTTTTGGAACTCTTGGGGCCCTGCCAGCATTGATTGCCCTGGGTCAAAGGGATTGCCTGCGCAGGGTTTATTTCTTAAAGTGAAACTATGCCGTCGGTAGCCTGGGAGGGGTCGGGTGAAATGTCCCTCATGGGGCTTCACTTTCATCCCACCTCACTTTTACGTGCTCGTTAAGTGGTCCACCTCTTTGGGCCAAGTACGGGCGGTTTAAGCGCCGAGGTAAGGGTGCGAAACTGCAAGAAAGTAGGATTCCAGTCAGATGGCTCAGTATCCCGTTTCAGTTGCTGTTTGGCTACTTATCTTCGAGAAAGCCGCACCAACATTTCGGCATCGCGTACAGTATTCCATCAGAATCTGGGTATGCCCATGGGAAAATCCACCAGTCCAGCGCTCACATGAGGGTTCGTCTTTACTCAGGGAGTGGGGCAAGATAACAGGGTTTGAGAGTTGTGCTGAGCGGGGGCAGGAGTGAATTAAGGGGATCATCCTACTGCCCCTTAAACCGCAAGTACACGACCCCAGCCCTGCAGAAAGTTTTTGTCAACACAAGCAAAACTCGGAGGGGCCGTGCGGAGTGGGGCGCCGTCCGAAGTGGTGCGGGTTTCGTGCTGACACCCGCGGGCCGATGAGCGGTGTACTGGTGCTTTAAGAGGGGATAACTAGGTTGTGGCAAAGGGGCTTATCCTACTCTTGAGGGGGGGAGATCAATTGCGAGTGCTACTCCACAGGATGACTGTGGCTTTGACTGTGGCAGGGGGTGAATATCCTTAGGTAGTACAGCCGATATGCGGCTTGTCCTACTCTGGACTAGTCTACAGAGTGGCAGGGTAGTAAGGGCTTAGAGGGAAGAAGGGGGGGGGAGGGGGGGGGGGTTGCCGGAAGTGCTGCTCCACAGGACTTCGCCGTGGTGGGGAGTGCATATCCTTATAGAGCAGGGGGGTTGTCTTGCTCTGGAGTAGCCTACAGGGAAGCAGGGAAATAGCCGGCTCAGACAATCCTGGGGAGAACTGCTCTGGGTCTTAGGAGCAGAAGGTGATAAGCAAGTAGATTCTTCCCTGGATTGTGGGAGGCACAGTAAACTGAGTAAAGGTCAACAGAAGCAGCCTGCTCTAGGCGGTGAAAATTTAGTTGCAACAAGGTAGGGGAACTCGGGGGATCTTTCCTAAGGTCCAAGCAAGGAAATGGACGATGAAGTACCTCCTTCAGGCACCGGGATTGCTTTTGGACCAGACCGCTAAACTTATGGAGTACCGCCGCACTACTTAGAAAACAGGAGGCCATGGCATACAGAGGAGGGTCTCAGGAAAAATCCCCTCTTCGAAAAATAGAGGGCTCATGCTCAGAACTGTGTCCTCTGCCTGGCAGACATCTGGGACCACTCATCACAGCAGTTCGCTTGGAACACATGGAACACATCTGGGACCACTCATCACAGCACCAAGCTCTGGGACACATCTGGGACCACTCATCACAGCACCAAGCTCTGGGACACATCTGGGACCACT